CATTTTCCCACCCAAAAATAAGCAAATCCCAGTTCCCATTTTACCCCTTCAGGACCCTCAGCTAGAGGCTGATGATTAATTCGTCAGTATTACCCATGCTGATGGATTATCCATGACACTTTGAACTATGAGCTATATCCAGACAAACTATCGCTAGAATAGCTCGTTCTGTACAGGCAACGATTCTAAGGGAAAGACGTGCCTGCCACTGGTATTTTTTATATTGCATTTATTGCCGTATTCCTGCACAGGCAAATTAGCTACGCTTACCACTAGCTCGTCTGCGTGCATGGGTGATAAGTTAGTTCTGGCATATGCTTCACGTTCTGCTTATTGCATTTATGCACAGGTAAAAATTACTCTCGCTGTTCATTTAGGACAGCCAATGTGGGAAACACGGAAAAGAAGTCGAAAAAGAAAAGAAAACGAAAGCTTAGTGAAGGTGTAACGTCAAATGAAACTCCCAAAAATGAACTTCAAAATGGCGGAACCTTGGACAGTGAGAAAGTCGTTTCGAAGAAAAAGAAGAAAATGAAAAGTAAAAAGAAAGTTTAACGAGGAACGATGAAACATGACGTCTTTCTGGGTTATCGACTATGTGTAATATGGGGAATAACCGAATAAGAAATCACATAAAAATCCTCGGTCAAAACTATATGGATTACTATATAGCGGAATGAATCGTGCAAGTCATGCCCGACTCATGGCCATATGCTACCAAGGCGAAAGATATATAGAAAATAAACAGCGATAATTCTATTGAATAACGAGTTTGTCGAATTATTGACCAATGGATTGATCGATGTATTGATCATATTGATTAAGTAATTGATTATTGGCCGTCTGAGACCATACCTCCGACGTCACATGTAAAGATGTCTTCTAATATACGGCCAATGGCTGTGATGAAATTAGTTTAATTTTTATGAATTGATGGGCTGATGGATTTCTAAATAACAATCATTTTTTAATGTATCGATTGAATGATTGTTTGATTATTAAGTGATTATTGATTGATTGAATTTGTAACCATAGCAATTAGCAAACCATGGCAATATTCCAGATTTCCAGTAGCGTCCAGTTTCTTCGTATCCAAGATGGCGGACAATTCTTGCAAATTTTCACATTCCCTTCTTAATAATGGAATATCGTTCTATTTCAAGCATCGTTTCTGGCCAATATTAAGAGACAGAGTAATAGTGTAATTATTCTTTCACCATGCCTATTCTTGTCAAGGATTTTACTTGGGAAGAGACAGAATCGGCTGTGTTTATTGACGTACCCTTGAAAGGCGTCGCGTCAAATAAAGTTGACATATTCTCGTCGGGTCAATATTTGAAAGTATGTAAAGCATTTTCGTTGCAATATTTTAAACAGTTTTACTTCACTTAATGGCTTATATTGATAGCCAGTTATTACTTTTCTAAAAAGTGGTAAACATTTTAAAATATTGATTGTATACTAAGTAATTAGTATGTTATAGTACTTCAAAGGAATAATTGTTCGAATTTCGTCGATATTTGTACAGTCCTGTGATTCCTGCTAGCCTACATATAAGCCTATATTAACTTTCTGTGTGGGCTAACAAGAATCCACCATAAGGAAATTTCTGAGATTTAAAAAATAGTAAATATAGCTAATTCAATAGGAAAGTATTTAGCCTTGACTATAGAGCCTCATTCTTGTGACATATCAGTTTGCCAAAGTTACATTTACTCACAACGATGAATCGGCCGATTGCAGGTTTAAGTTTTGCCGAATGTTAATGACAAATGTTGTCAGTTGACGATGTTGTCAGATGACGTTGACAGCGTATTTTTCAAATATTGCCCATCTACATGATATGACTAGTCATATACAATTCTTATGCTGGAATATGTACTAAAATAAAGGTGTGTACAGGAATTGTGGTGTCAGCAGTCGTTTTCATATGCAAGAATGACAATCGTATACAACTAGTTGTATCTTGTAAATAGGCCTTCGGTGAATTTATCTCAATTACCCAGGGAGTTTGTATTTCTGATACAACACAGATGCAAGTATTGTAGATGACTTGTGTAACGTCTTGATAAGAACATTTGTATTCTTCAACAATTTAAAGTAAATTAATGATATTTGGTGAGAAAATTGAACGTAAAGTTTTAATTAATGTTCATCCGCATGATTTTGTTTCAGATATATTTCAAAGTCACCTCGTGCAGGAAATCTCGTAAACCTGTTTAGGTCAGGATGAAATTTTTTCAGTCAAAATTTGGTTGAAATTTTCTAAGCTATTAGCCAAAATTTTTTAAAGTCAAATTTTTTGAGTTGAAATTTTCATAGCCTGCTTGCAGCCCGAAATTTCGTTTTATTTTCTGCTATAAATTTTTGGGTGGGGTCTACTGAGCAGGCTAAAATTTTCAAAGTCAAAGTTTGAGTTAAAATTTTGAAAAAATTCCAGGTTAGTTATCCGCCATACATGTTCGAAATCTACCTCAAGGAGAATATAAATGAAAGTGCCAGCAAAGCAACCATTGCCGGTGGCCTTGTCAAATTCAAGTTTGAAAAATCGGAGCACGAATTATGGAACAGCTTGCAAGCAGCCGAGGTGGAGGATAAGAAATTCATGGCAGCTGCTCGTCAGAAAGCTGTCGAAGACTCGCACAAAAAGGCAGAACTGTTGGCCGAACAGAAGGCGAAAGAAAAACGAGAGCAGGAAAGATTTGCATTGAGAGAACAAATGAAAGTAAGTTCATTAGAGGGTAATTCACTAACAGAATAGAGACCTTACTGAAGGTTGACTTCTTGGTTTTGCCTATGATTTTTGCCTTAGTTGCAACGCTCACTCAGTCACCATCTTCCTAGCCAGTGCAGTTATGAGAGGCATTCACGCCCCTGAGAATATTGAAAATTGCAGACGTGCAAATGGATGAATGCCCCTTATAACAGCACTGGCTAGCAACATGACAACAGCATTTTGAAGACAGATCATTGCAAATTATGGCACTGCAGCAGTAATGCTTTGTTGGCTGAGTCAACCATCTGTTTGTCTCTATTCTGTGGTAAAGCCAAAGGTCCCCCCGACCTTTAGAAATGTAGAGTACAAATGTAGTTGCTGCCGCGGCAGCTTGTTCATAAATATGGAAATATTTTTCAAAAAAATTCTTTCCAGATCAACAGAAGTCTTATGCCTGTATTCTAAAAGCCCACCCACACTGAAAGAGTGGAGGTTCAATCTTAGCTTCCCTTGAGTTACAGTGCTGTTTTTGAATAGCTGGAGGGTGAGTTGTCACATAGTAAGGTACAACACTAACCCTCCAGCTATTCAAAAACAGCACTGACACTCAACTACTCAAGGGAAGCTCAGATTGAACGAACAAAGAGTGGAGCTCTTTGAGTGTGAGTGAGCTTTTAGAATACAGGCATTGTTTTCTAAAGTTCAGTTTGAATAACACACAAATTAACCAAAACAGCAGCCTAAATTTTAACCCAGGGTTGGGTTAGTGCTGATCCTGCTCTGAATAAATCCGCCCTTGTTATCTCTGATTTTAGAAAGATGAGGAGGAAAAGCGAAAAATTGAAGAAGCGAAAGAAAATATAAGAAAAAATGCGGCTGAGAGTTTGGAAAGATGGAAAGAAACAGAATCGGAGAGATACAAAACAGAGAATGGTTTAGCCAATCACGAGGAGAATCATTCAACCAATCACAGTGGAGCTATATTTAGCCATGACGATGACGTTCATGCTGACGACGAAGATGACGAGCATCTAAATTTGCCCAAGGGGGTAAAATTACATGATGGTAAAAAGTTGTCTGTCAAAGATGATAGCCCTAAAAAGTTCTCGAAAAAAGGTTAGTTAGTGGACCTATTACCTAATGAACAAAATTTTTATCTAGCAAGTCTAGACAAAAATTTCACCACTGTTTGAAAGAGCATCACAAAATTAGTAATATTCCGAAGTTTCGTTGCGAAATGTTGTAAAATGCGGATAATATAGCCCTGCGAAGTTTCCCGTTTTTCAGTCATTTTGTATTAATACACACGGGAAATTGATACCGCTTTCTGAAAAAAGGTATCAATTTCCCGTGCGTGATAGAGAATGACTGAAAAACGGCAAACTTCGCAGGGCTATATTATCCGCATTTCACAACATTTCGCAACGAAACTTCGGAACATTACTAATTTTGTGATGCTCTTTCAAGCTGTGATGAAATTTGTGTCTAGACTTGTTTAGATCAGAATTTTGTTCATTAGGTATAATAGGTCCATTGAAATCCCATTGTCAAACTTTAGAAAAATCGGACAAGTTTTTCCAACAACCAATCATCGCCCATATCAGGCCTAAGTTAGATCTAATAAATGTATAAAATTCACTCGAAATTTCCATAGATCTATAAAACTCTTCTACAGTGTGTTTTGAACGGTAGTCAGTCTACGATTGTCTCTCAGAATTTTTTCCGAATATTAAAATGTTATTTTAGTTAAGAAGAAAAAGGACGTTCCCCCTCCCAGATCAACTGGGACAATCCAAGTCACGTTCTCACATCGACCTTTCAAGACGCCGTCACGTGAGTCCAAAGCACCAGAAGAGGAAGAGGTATGTAGTATATACACACACGTAAAAATGCACAAGTTGTTACAGGTCTGCAAACAAGTTTTTACAAGTCTGTTCACGAGCTGTCGACAAGTTGTGTTCGCACTGCTTGTTCCCAGTTGTTGTAACAAGTTTGAAACAAGCAAGCTGTTAACAACTTGTAACAAGCTTGGTGCAGTTGGTGACATCAGACTTGTTACAAGGTTGTTCTAACAAGTCTGATACTGAGTCATTATGTAACAAGAATGTTACAAGGTTGACGACACGAAGTTGTAACAATATTGTTATAACATGACTGTATCGGACTTGTTGGAACAACCTTGCAACGTTGTTGCAACTTGTTAACAGCTTGTTCCAAACTTGTTGACAACTTGGGACAAGCAGTGCGAAACTTGTTGACGGCTTGTTGGCAGCCTTGCTACAAGATGTGAGACTTTTCCGTGTGTATATCACTGTATCTGTAGTGTTTTCGTCAAAGTGTTTTGTCATATGCTTGAAGATTACCTACAAACATCGTTCTAATACCGTCCCCCCTCGGCAATCCGGCATCCCTGTTGATAAAAAGGTCGCTTGCATAAGCTCACTATCATTGTGGTGTTTATTTTACAGTGGCTAGCAAAAATAGCAGCTGCAGGACGAACAACCAAAACTGACAATAGCGATGCCGTCGATATGGAAGAAATGAATCCTCTTTGGCTAAAAGATAAAGGAAGGTAAATTAATTAGCGCGTTTTTATATTCTAGACGGTTAGCGCAAATAATCAAGTTAGATGTTTACATATAAGTTTGAGTTAGTTTGCCGATGAGGAATGTTAGTTTCTGAGCATTTCCACTCCCAAGAAAAATTTCCGCGGAGAAAAAATTTTCCGAAAATATCATTGTTAAAAGTTGAAAATTTTGAACTTCAAAATTTTTTCCGACGGGAAAATCAATTTTGACCAATCACATTTTACAAATTTTTCTTTCTGCGGAAAATTTTCCAGGGTAGAAATGGGCCTTTATGGTTTCAAATTTCACCATGTAGTTTTTGAATTGTTTTTCAGTTCGTTCTACAAAAGTGGAAACTTTGTTGCAGCTATCAATGCATTCACAGCTGCTATCGTTTTGGATGGAAATATACCATCGTATCCTTTTATTTCAAATTTTAGAAATTTTTGTATTAATATTATTATTATTACGAGTCCATAAGGGACCCTCAAAAATTCGAATGTTAAACACCGGTTGAAATATATGGCGAAGTTTACCGGTATCTTGTATAACAACAAATGTGAACGAATTCAACCAATAACATGTGAAAAATTTGTTTGTTATATATTATAAAAATGCTGCTAAAAATTATGGGACCCAAAAACAAGCGCATGCGTACAGCGTGGTTTCAAATTTCGATAAGGTTCTCTAACAATTGATTGAATTGATGTACTGTTTAAAACATGAGCAGGGGTGCTTTGTCAAATATAAAACACAAGAGCGCAGCTCGAGTGTTTTAATATATCGATCTGATAAAGAATGGACTTGCGAGGGTTTTAAATGGCTTAAAAAACGACCCATCAAATAAGTACATTGGCCGATTGGCGCAGTAAACTAAACGTTGTCTAAGTCTAAGACTAAGCCGAGAAAATCAAAACTAGAATTTATGTAAATGAACATGAGTTTTTTTAAGGCTGTATAAGGGACCATCAAAAATTATGCACTAGTCAATTGAAACCCCGGCCCCCCGACCCCCGGGACAGGGCGGGGAATTAACGGGGGAATGGCCGTGGATTAACGCGGGTTTAATGCACCATTTTCCCCGGGGTACAGGGGAAATAACAAGTCAATTTATTAGCCGGGACAATAGCCGGGACTTTAACGCACCGCTGATACGAAAGTGGACTGGAACGTGTTTATAGTTTTTCTTTAAAAAAAAGGAATATATTTTCACTTTCCTGATGATGACTGCAAAATAGTCGAAACGTAGACTTATTCAGTATCTTTTGATGCGGATCAAAGTTTAAGATCAAGAATTGCCTTCACATGTTGTGAACATTTTATACTTCAACGATTTCCCATTTCCCAAGTCATGAAAATTTGCAAAGTGCCGGGGCCATAGGGGCGGTAACTTTAACAGTCAATATTCCCCCGGTAGCGGGGAAATTACCAAA